TTTTAGATTTACTACATATATTAATGAAAATGGGTACAACAGGTGCTAATTCAAGGCAGAAGCACAAAAAAAAATTAATAGGTTTTTTTCACAATTTAAAACATGGTAATTTGTTTTCTTTTTATTAATATAATATTAAATTTGTATTTACAAGTGTATTACTGTTTACAACTGTATACAGTATGCACTGTCACCGTATTTGTGTCCTGGAAGTCAAAATACAGTTGTACTATTACGACCGTACCATGTACCGACCTGTAGAGGGTAGGTCATACCTATATACAGTACGTGCAGATCCCTAGTAAGGATGTCCAAGCCTGTATGGGAAAACGTCTGTTTCAGCTATAGGCACAGGCTCCATAACAACGATTGTCTCTGGGTGGATTCGTTTGTGCACCAAGCCTAATGAATGGACAACAAGGAGGCCTGCAATGATGCAAATAGAAAATTCGATACGGTCTGAGAGTGGATGTACAGGATTACTGGACCGTGGGTCTGTCAGAAGCTGACGAAGGGTACACTGTGGCTTGCTACCTGGGGGTATCCTGAAGAGGAGATCGCATCCTAGCCCCGGATATTGGACCACCCCACAGCATCGCAGAACGTCCTCGTCCGGACGATTTGCAAGGAATGTTCTTCGTCCCTAGCAAATAGGCGTGCAATCCTCGCAGCTTCTGATTCGTAATTCTCTTCAGAGATGGCCAGCAAAGCAGACCGACAGATAACGATGAGGTGCTCAATCGGTTCAAGCCCTTTCTGCATCGCGTGAAGTCCAGGCACGAGGGATGCTTGCAGGAGAGCATACTCTGGTATTACAAAATCTTCCATATGGGAGTTGAGCAAGACAAAATCCTTGTATTCATATTGAGCATTGGGAACGTTCATCTCGTAATAATTGATTGGATTATTGTTTTGCACACAATATTGTGCGCGAGCAACGAATCGGATGAGCCTGGTTTCACGTCTCTCTACAGGAACAGAATTGACAATGGGCAACAACGCTGTTAAACTGGATTCCGCCACACATTTTATTGACAGCAATTGGCACAAGTCTGCTGCCTCTCGAGCATGCTGCTTGATTGAAAACTCCTCATACATGACAAATCCAATGTGTGCTGTTAGGCACAGTCTCTGAAGTACTTAGTCTATCACTTTCAGGAGATAGGATTGATTTGAGCTCACCCATCCTTGATTCTTAATTTGATTTTCTTTCCCACCTAGCTTGTTTCCTTCCTCGACATGAAAAAATGGGTCTGATGAAACCAACAGCATTGGAGCTTTGTCATATACTGTCCTAACATCATCATTATTTGCTGCTACAGAAAGCTGTCTGCACCATTTTTTCACGCTTTTGTCATATTTCTCTGTTGCAAGTTTAAAATCAGAGGTATTTGCAACCAGAGCCTTCAGACTCTCTACTGGAATTGTAATGCTGTGGCTTTTAACTATGTTGGCATAATTGTTCCAATAAACAAGCTCCAGCTGTGCTTGATAGTAACTTATAGTTATATAGTAGTTTATAGTTATTCATTATATAATTGTAAAGAATTAAATTGTAACTAGTAGTAGAATTGTAATTATAGTTACTAATAGTTTAATATAGTAAACTAGTAGTATAGTTAAATAATAGTCTATAGTAAATTGTAAAGTATAGTAGTTAATTATAGTATTGTAGTTTATAGTAGTTTATAGTTATTTGTAACTGGATAGTATGATAGTAACATATAGTAAATTGTAAGTTATAATAATAGAGTATACTATTATAATGTATATTTAAGTATAATCAATTATAGTTAAATAGTATAATAGTAGTATATTAGTAATTAGTCAGTTATTATAATTTATTATAAGTAGTAACTGTATATAATTGTATAGTATAATAGTAACATATAATATATAGTAAAATAGTAATAAATAGTATAATTGTAGTATATAGTATAATTATAATATATAGTACAATTATAATATATAATAGTACAAGTATGTAGTAAAAGCAATTAGCCTCTCTAAAAAGGAAGCTAATTTGTAAGGAATTTGTATACTGTATTTAGTAAATGAATATGTACTAAGACTCA